CTCTGTCTCAAAAATAAATAAACATAAAAAAAATTTTTTTTAAAGAAAAGCTGGAGTATAAATGAATTAAATGTACCGTCTTTCACAGGAGGGGGTTAAAAACCTCTGACTAAAGTTTATACATCAATAAATAGGAAGAAAAAATAAATAAAGAATAAATAAATAGGAAGACACACATACACACACAGGCAGTGGAATACTACTCAGCCATTAAAAAGAATGAAATCTTGCCATTTGCGACAACATGGATTGACCTTGAAGCTATCGTGCTAAGTGACATAAATCGGACAAAGACAAATGCTCCATGATACATGATTTCACTTACATGTGGAGTCTAAAAACCAAAACAAAACAGAATAAAACCCAGATTCACAGGTAACAGCGAACAGATTGGTGGTTGCCATTGGGGCCGAAGCAGGCTCCAGGTTCTGAGCTGTCAGCCCAGAGCCCGACGCGGGGCTCGAACTCACAGACCATGAGATTGTGACCTGAGCCGAAGTTGGACACTTAACCGACTGAGCCACTCAGGCGCCCCTACTCTTTGGGATTTCTGAACATGTTTTGTTGGGTGTGTGTTCTCTTTGCAGGCATTTTCCTTAATCCTCTTTTCAAAGTTACTTGAAGCCCATCCTCACACACACCGGCCCCCCCTTAACCACCACGCTGCCCGCCTGGTGTGGCCTGCTCGCTCGGTGTCTGACCAGTCCCCAGGTGTACGACGTAAGTACAGCACGTCAGGGTTGTGTTCCTGATCACGGAGCCAGGGTACTGTCTTCCCCAGGAAGAGGAAACGTGTTGCATGCAAGCCTCCAAACCCACAAGTTTTGCTTTTCTAAATAAGATGATTAGAAATGGCCAAGTTAACATATGTTTGTGTATTTTGCACAGTAATAGAGAAACCTTGTACGTGGGCTGCGGGGCCCTGCGGTGTCTGCAGCCATGGTGTAGGAATTCTGGATTTGGAAACAGAACAGCTACATTCAAATCCAAGCCCTGAGGCCATCTAAGTGTTCTTAGCAGCCTTAGTTTTCTTGTCTGTAAAGTGGGCCTCGTCGTCTGGGCTTGGCTGTGAGATTAAAGGCTAAGGTATGGAAACATATGGTGAACCACAAAGTGTTTAGCAAACGTGAAGATTCCTTTTGCAAATGGTGTCTTTATGTTGAGATGGTTAGGTCCTTTCCGTTTTCCGATTCAGACTCAGCACAGTACAAAAAGAATATCCACACCGGTGGACATCTGAGCTTTGGGGCTGACTCGTGAGCTCTTCACGGGGGTTGCTGGGCAGAGGGGTTGTGGAGAAAGCAAGAACCTACCTCCATAGAAGGACTGGAGGAGAGGGGAAAGGCCCTTCTTCCTCTCTCTCCTCCACCATCCTACATAACCATTATATCCGGGAGAAAAGAACTCCTTATATTTATGTAGAGCTTTCCAGCTCACAAATGGCTCTCTCGGCCATACCGTAAATAGGCAGATAACTACCATCTTACAGAGGAAGAAACTGCCAAGGTCCCAGGATTGGTAAGTGACAGAGCTGTGACCCTAATGCAGGTTTCAGAGTATTAGTAAATAACCTGCAATTTACTTGGTTAGTGTTGAGAAAGCAGAATGCAAAGCCCAGGTCTGAGCGAGAAGGGTCCTGATCAGGTAACGGGGCAGGGCAGCGGGCTTGGAAACCGTTGCATTCGGATGGTATGGAGGGGAAAATAAACACTGTAGCTGGGCAATAAGCAAGAATCCCTCCATACTGCCACTGCTGCTTTGGGCTGGGGTCCCTACCAGGGTCTCAGTCTGCTCCAGACACGGTGAGGGTTGCTATTGTTGAGAGAGGAGGAGCAAAGGGTCTTTGAAAAATTAATTGAGGAAGCCACAGGTGAGAGAGTGGAGGGGCTCCCTGCAGGCTTTTGAGCCTGGTGAGGGTCTTGGGCTGGGCGGCTCTCGTGGCTGTTTGACGCACTGTTGACCTCACCCATCACCTAGAGGGCGTTTGGACTTCCGGTTTATTTGGGAGATCTTGAAGATGTTCATTATTCACTGTTTGCATGCACCTAGGAAACCGTGTTCTTCCATTCAGGAAAGTGTGACTTCTGGTTATTTCAAACGCCCACGTTCCTGCAACACGCGCGTTTGCAAGGTTATTCCACAGTATTTTCCTAGCAGCCTTCAGTGGACAGCCCATTACATAATTATTACAAGCCTCCAGCTTAACAAAACTTTTGTTGATCTTGTCATCTAGAATTGGAGGCTCTGACTTGGAAATCCCTCTCCACTGGGTTTTACTAGGTCCTTGTTTCGGAATGACCTTTCCTTGGGTACTCTTTGTCCGGGCTTGTGAGTTTCGTAATGGAACGGGTCAACGAACGGGTCAACATCCAGTCCCGTTTCCTCCTGCCGGTGAATTTCAGCCCTGCTTTCCCCTGCCAGGGGTCAGCGAGGGTCACCCAGGGGCTGGTGTCTGGGGGCCTCCTCTGCCCTGCTGTAGAGGGCGTGGCCCCATTTGCAGACACCGCCTGCGAAGAGAGACATGGTTAACGCTAAACCAGGGAACGTGATCTCATTTGTTGTTAAGAAAACTATCACAGGACAGATCGAATTTCAGGCCTTTCTCAACACTGGTGGAGAGTAGGAATCTGGGGAGTTTGGAGTGAGTTTTGGAATGAACGCTCTGCCTGAGTGCAGGATTGTTATTTAGTTGCACGTGTGCGCCCTGCCTCATTCCGCGAGGGTTTGAGGCAGCAAGCGAGAGGAGGCGCGGGCTTGCCTATCCAAAAAAGCCGGGGAGCACTGGCTAAGTGGAGTCATGTTGTGAAGCGCGGAGCAGCCGTCATCACTGAGAAGCAACGCAGAAAACAAGCTCGAGCTTGTTCCCAGCAAGTGTACCCAGACAGGCTGGGACAGGAGAAGGAGCTAGGCAGACCCAGAAGCCCTTCCTAGGCCGGGGCATTGAATAGGTACTCCTCTGGCACCTCCTGTGACTTAAGCATCTCGAGGAAGGGTGCCAAGAGGATGCAGTCACGTGCTGTGCCGGTTTCTCACCTAGATGGGAATTCAGGCATGGTTGGGGGGAATCTGCCCGTGGCTTTGGGCAGCAGCGTGACTGGTGCGGACCGGGGAGGAGGGAGCAGGAGGCTGTCAGGGAGGCAGGTTCCCGCGTCCTGTCCCGAGGACACCCTGACACGTAGAGGATGCAGGTGCCTTTTGAAGAACAGATGGCAGATAGGAGAGCAAGAGCGGTGTGCCGGCGCATTTTGAAAACCGTGTTTGCCATTCAAGAGAGGCGCTCGCAGCGTTTGACCCTGTGTGCAGTGGGGACGGCAGGGGAGCGAACTGCCCCTTGTTTTGCTGGTTAAACCCATTAGAGGGTGAAAGGTTTGTGTCTGACCCCAGGCTGCTTCCTGAGCTCTCCCCCACGGTCTGGTCATTTGTGGAGGCTGCCACTCTGGCTAGAACGAACGCCTGCCTTGCTCCGCCTTGCCTGGTTTTTTTTTTATTCTCACTGCGGCTTTTGTCCATCCTCCTCCCGCTGGGGTGATTTTTTCACATCCTTTACCTGGGTCCGACCAGCATAAATCCTAACTCTGCTTCCCACCAGCTGGGGAAACCTCGGGCACATTTCCGAGGTTGTCTTAGCCCAGGCTTTCTTCTCTGTGACAGGAGTGTTCCCGCCCTTCACAGGCAGGGAGGGGTAAGGATCAAGAGAGCCCTTCCCTGACCTTCCCGGCAGGCATAGAACAGATTGTTTGAGAAAACAGACCCTCCTTCTGGATGCCCCGCCGCATCTGTGCCGCCGGGCTTCCCATCAGGGGGGTTTTCTGTGCGGACAGGATATTTCCCATCAGGGGGGTTTTCTGTGGGGACAGGAAGGATATCGTAATTATGCTTTGACCCCTTCCCTCAACTGCTCACTGGGACAAAGAGCGGCTCAGATGTAAATCAGGTGGGTTCAGGGTGGTTTATGGGGCCTCCTGCCCAGGGAAGGGGGGCCCTGAAACCTATCTGTAAGTTCACCCAGTGACCTTGCCCTGCCTTCCCTTGTGGGCCGGGAACCTGAAAGCCCCAGCTGGCCTCCCTTTCTCCCCTTGTGTCACTAACCTCAGCTGTCAGGCATTTGAAATCAGAACTGCTTCCTGGGGTTCAAAGGCTTGGTTTCCGGCAGCAGCACCTTGCCTTGAATAGCACGCTACAGTTTGCAACCTTCATGCACACCAGAGGCTCCAGGCAGGCAAGTTTCATGGGCCCGGGTTTTCAGACGAGGAGCTGAGGTCGGGGGTTGGCCCCAGCCCTCGGAAGATGCCGGTCTCCCATTTGTCGTTGTCGTTCGTTGCACTTTTCAGAACCAAGAGCCGCTGAGAGAGGAAGACTCCGACTTCATCCTGACCGAGGGCGACCTCACCTTGACCTACGGGGACAGCACAGTGACTGCAAACGGCTCCTCAGGCTCCCACACGGCCTCCACGAGCCTTGAGGGCAGTCGGAGAACCAAGAGCAGCTCCGAGGAGGTGCTGGACCGAGCCCTGGGGATGGGAGACCAGCCGGTTTCGAGCCGGGGCACGCGCCTAGTGTTCCCCCTGGAGGACAGTGCGTGACTCCCCCCTCCCCCCACCCCAGAGCCTGCAGCGACAGGGGCGGGGGCGGCCCACCGGCAGGGTGAGGACGGCTGCAAGCCCCAGGGTTGTTTGAGGCGGGGCACTGACTGAGTGGAACTAACGCTTCTGTTTTATTGGGGTCTGAAGCTATCTTAATAACCTTTACAATTTAACCCAAGATGGTGGGGCTAAAGTGTCTCTAAATCAAGACAGATGCAGACCTATTCCCACTTTTTCACATAGTAGTGTGCTGTTCAGAGTTAAACAAACAAACAAACAAATAGCATGCTTTAATGGTCTAACTCATTCACCTGCAGTATCTGAACAAGGTGTGGGGCGGGTGGGGGGGGTTGGAGTCCCCCCAGGAGAGGCTTCAGATCCGTACACAGCAGTGCAAGCCTGGCTGGCTGCAGGAATAGCAAGGTGGAGGAGAGCAGGCTAGAAGAACGATCGAGAAGGAAGGCAGCTGAGACCGGACCTCCACGGATGACGGGAAGCCGGTGGTAAATGGGACGGAACTCACGAAGAAGCAATTGCCGCAGGCGCTTCTGGCACCGAGGGCTGTGGGACTGCGACCTCACGTCAGGCTTCTGGACTCTTTGCAACCCGGGTTTCCTCTAGGCTGAAGGATGGAAATCTATCCGTGAACATTTCGACATGGGGAAAGAATTAGAATTCCTTCTCTGGAAGCCTCCATCCAGAAGAAGCTACCAAAAGCAAAACCAAAGGCAAAAATCGTGTTACACTGTTGGGTTTTTCACATTAATCTGGGAACAGCAGAAACTGGTTAGAAACTGATGGCGAAAAAAATCAGTCAATTCTTCAGGGCCACCGTACAAGCTGACTGCCTGGCAAATGATTCCGAGGGCCGAGATACCTACTGTGGGTTTAGGAACAACACCAAAATTGGTTGGGATGCTTTTATCTGGGGACAAGAAAGCAAAAAGAAGCCTAGGAGACAGTAGGCTAGTATTGGGGGGCGGGGGTGGGAATCACACTGCGAACAAAATTAACTGCAAAAACGAAATACAGGATACTGTTCTAAGGACCCGAGTAGAATTCCAAACCTTGAGCCAACGAATGCATGAGATTTCAGCGGCCACGTGAGAAATTAGAGGCAAGTCCCTAGAAAATTAAGCATTATTCAGTCCGGTGGAAGGTTCTGTCTACTGTAAGGTTAAGTCTCCGGATGTCTTGACACTTGAGTGCCATGTAAAGAAGGGTCGCCCTCTTGGTATCCGGGGAGGCTTGCACCAGCTGAATGCGTGAGCGTGGTTTGAAATTTAGGTTATTTGAAAACCCGATTTATTAAAAAAAAAAATGCTTTCATAAAATGTGGGCATTTTTCTTATTGTGGCAGACAACATAGTTTGTGATAGTTTGTGTAAACCAGGCAAAAATTATTACTAGGTTCAGCCATATGAAATTGCTGATATTGAACCATTAAAAAGAAAAAAACAAATGGCAGTTTCATATGGTTCGATATAATATAATTAGATGCTTTTTATTCCCCCCCCCTTTCCTTTCTGTCTACCCTAAAGTCCATTTTGACTTTATCAGGGGCACCCGTGGGATTTGTAAGCTTGAAAAACAAGCTAAACCACATATCTAACCCCATGAGGCTCAGAATTACCTAGGCTAGTGAAGGACTTAAGAAGATCTACGAGCCACAGCCAGAGAAACCGCTTTTTTAGAGAGCCCCTGGATGGGAGGTCATTGTGTCGTGGGTGTTGTGTCAGAGTGCAGAGAGCAGCTTGCCAGGCTGGAGATGTGCATATGTGCCCGCGCCCCAGAACCGGCAGAAGTTTTATTCGGTGGAGTTCTCTCAGTAATGACCAGTCAAGCCTATAAAGGTGAGGCTTGTGTGTGTGTTGGGTATTTGCAGAGATGGATAGGCTGGCCGGCTCTTTGGTTGGGTCTTTATAAAGCCTTGTTTATCTCTTATGTCGCTTACTTGTTTAATTTTGGAGGAAAGAAACTACCGGAAAAACCCTGATATGATTCATGAAAATAGCCACCCTGGCTGTTTAGGGACCCCCCCCCCCCCCC